TTTTATATTCAATATCAAGGAATCTCCTCTTCATTCTATTATTCTAGTTACTCAGCATTGACATTCAAATATATTAATCATTAAATATATTTTTATTTTATATTTCATATACCTATATTGCGTCCACTTTCATTGAGAGCAATTTGTTAAAATTCCCCCCTTCGAGATAAGGATTAGAACATTCCTAAAATAAGAAATGCTTGTTGTAAAAATATTTTTTGGAATATCAAACTCGAAGTTCCACTTCCAGTACATGCCCAAGGGTGTAAATCTGGAAAAATAACTGTATTCACTTATTTTTAATATTCGATTCGATTATTTATTCGATGTTTATTTGACCAAGTGCTGTAACCAAAAGAACAGCAGAGGTGTTAGATCAAGGAGAAAACTATATACAAACGAAAAGTTTCAATTGGTACTGGCGGAATTCCTTAAAATTACAATGGGACATCTATTGGCGCATTATACCAATAATGTGTTAAGAACACAGTCGTGTTAAGCTGTCACAGCTTGGCTCTGACTTTATCTGTTGCGATATCAGCTTTACTATATACCAGATTTTGTTCTTATTTCATAAACCACTTTTACCGTTTTTAATTATTGGACTCGTATGTTTGTGAGAACACATCTCTCAAAAGATTTTTAGTTTATTTCTGACGAAGAACAGTGTACATATTTTAATTGTCTAAGAAAGAATTGTTATGAGTAACTAGGCTCCCCCACATAGCACTATAAATTTTCAGGGGCGGTATGCAGATCTTAGGTCAGTCATCGAATTATCATCTAGGTCAAAGAGAATTAGTCAAATTAGTCAAAGAGAAGGGAGAAACTCTGTAGAAACCCCCAGCTAGGAAAGAGTAAAAGTGCTCGGTAAACCCTCAACATAAGAAAAGGCTCGTATGTAGTTATATATATACGAGTATATAATTTTATGTGTGTCAGAATGCTTCAAAACTTTGTTAGGGAAGTGTTACGTACATTTAACAGATAACGCTTTTCAATTATTTCAGCTTAATTTCCTTAACTGTGTTATCACTAACGTTAAAACTTAATCTTAAATATGTTTAGAGTATTTCCAAATTATCATTTTTTATTTCATATTCCTTTATTCGTAAATTTTGAAGGTTTCAGAATAGGTGATGAATGTATATTTATCAAATATACCTATAGTATCAGTCCTATATAATCTGATATGTATATCAAAATTTTGAGTATATATGAAAAAAAAACTACTGTGATAACTATTTTTATTTAATGCGATCTGTATGAAAAAAAGCTATAATAAGCTAGATAATTGATAATTGTTTTTATATAATACGATCTATATGATTATAGAAATTATTCAGAGATTTATAAATTCCACCTTTTTCTGTTATATGATGATTTGATAATTTGATTGCTTCCATATGAAATTAAATCCTTCTATTAGTATTTCCATTTCTATAAAATAATAATTTATTATTATTTTAGAACATAATTACAACTCATTGACGAACAACATATTAATAGCAGCAATTTTGTTGTTGACTTTTGCGGTTCGTTATAAATTGAACTCATCTCTTATACATTTTTATAGTATTTTTATTTTGGCATCCTCCTATACATTATCTGCGAGCATAACCGTATTTCATGCCGTTGAGTAGCGACTTATAAATCATTCAATATTGAATTTAACACAAAAATTATTATCTGTTACATTTTGACTACTGCAGCAATAAATTATGTTATTTAGCTCGGCGTATCCAACAGATACAACAACAGGTTCTATGTGCCTTTGTAAACTGCAAAAGTCTGCGTTCTGCGTTCTGCTTGAGAGCCACAGTAATTTGAAGATGAACGAACAACTGCAAATACTCGTAATTATTATGGTATCAATTTAAAAGTGATAAAAACAAATAATTACACTTAACAACAAAATTATCAGCTTAAGGTGGATTTCTGCACCAAAAACGCAATTGCCGAGTATCTTAAGTATTGAGATACATTTCAATAAAAAAAAGTTAAGTGGAAACAACGTAACTCTACGTAATCAGTTCAAGACTGGGTGGGCTGAAAAAGTGTTTTTCATAAAATTTTTATAATAAACAATTTCGATCCAAGTCATTGACCTATTCAAAGTGTTATTATATCAATTAACTTGAATTTTATACCAAAAATCTAATAAATTTTAAGTATTCAGGCTATTCAAAATTAAGTTCAACACTATTATTAGGTAGTAAATCTGAAGCCAGAAGTTATGGAAACATTTCTACTGCAGATAAGTAATTATATTTAGAGCCAACATCTCGTACGAGAAATGATATATAAATTATAAAACAACATAAATACATGAAATTTAATTACTAAACATTTAAATATTTTCTACACAATTCTTTTATTAATTCCGGTATACAGTCAAACGTTAAAGTAAATAACAATACTTTGTTAAAGTACAAAGCAAGATTATTTACTTAATACTGTAAATTGCACCATAAAAGCAGCCGAGTTCTACATAAATTACACAATTTAACATTCAGTTAACTTTGAAATTTATCATTTAAAAGTTGCTTGTAACTCACTTAAGCCCATTTACACTTTTACGACTTTTGGAGCAAATATGCTGAAAGTATCTTTGAGATACAGCTCACCCACGCGCCCCATTACAAGTTAATAACGTTGCTTGCGCATAATTAAGTTCATAATAATTCATCATAGAAATTTGTAAATAAATAAATGTTTCTCCTTACCTCACTTTTTACCAACCTAAGCCCAAAGAACATGAAATATAGAACTTTAACGAACGAAGCAACAATCTTACACAGATACTTTTACCTAGTATAGAAATAAATATTGTGCTATTTTTGATGCATCTCTTTTGTATTTAAAATTTAATTTAATATTTTTGGAATTTGCATACAACAAAAGCACTAAAGATACGCAAAGTAAATTTAAAAATTTTTAATGGTCAATTTTCAAAATTTAATTATGCATTACTTTTCTGCACTCTGAGGCTACAATGGAAAGATAAATTTAAAAACAGTATGCTTTTCCAGAGTCAAAGCACCTTTCTGCTATATTTCATAACAATTTTCTCCACCTTGGACTTATTTATAAAATTTCATACTTTTGTATCTTCTAGATACATCAATCACAAAATGCTTTACTTTTGTCTAGTGGGCTTTACGCATAAAAATGCCATAAACTTCATAATTTGCTGCTGAAGGTTCAACTTAAGTTAAGAGTAAAGAAAATTCGTTATCCTTTGAAGTTTGTTAGTTGTTAATGGATAAGTCACAATTCAGTATTCCCCAAAAAAAATTAATTTACTTATTAATAAATTACCATGGTTTTATTATGAATTCTTTAGATAACATAGATCTTCTTTGTTTGCTTATATAAAAAATAAAAAAAATTTTTAAATGATTAGCTTTAATAACGAGTTATCGGGATTCCGAGATTACTACACCTTTTACACTTACCAAATTCAATTTAATACTACGTTTAATATTTTCCCAACTTGATCATAACACCGATCATAGTTTTCTGCTACGTCTTCTTTCTTTAATAAATATCTTTAAACAAATTTTTCCTTAGAGCATTGTCTATCATCCTCACAGGCCGACCACTCACTGGGTGCTAATATGGTAAAGTGTGTTCAAAACTCCTACAGATGATTATTTATTTGGCGCCTGCAGTCGTCACGAACTCATGGAGAACGAAAGATCTTTCAAAGAATATTTTGTCTCAAACACATCATACAGATGTGACTTCTGTCATACAGAAGTACAAATAGTATGAATGATATATGGTATATAGCGTAAATTTGATCAGTCGATAGAGAGATAGAGCTCTTTTGCCTAATGAGCCCATGATAGCAATCATTCTATGTCTGATTTCTAGAACATCGTTGTTGTTGTTTTTGATGGTGCCAATTTAGTTGAAATTTTTGACAACTACGAAAATACACCACCTTTCTACTAGTAGTCGAACTTGAACTTGATGAAGTTATTAGTTTTGCTTTGATTTAAAAAATCTATAATTATGTTGAAGCTATTTGCACTTCAGCACTTTTACTCTGTTTTAACTCGAGGTATTTTCTAAACCCCTCTTTACGCCTTGACTAGATTATTGTTTATCACTTCATCAGACTAAGCAATAATTGACCGCAGATCTGCATACTTCCCCGAGGAGCCTGTAACCATTCTGATATTTGATATATTTATCATATATTTTATATATGATATATATAATATGTTAGGTAAGGTTATACCGGCGATACCAAGGGGATCCACTTAAGCCCATAGGCCCATTGTGCTGCCGTATTATTAAAAACCCAAGGGCTAAAACCATGTAGAACCTTTGACAAAGCTTATGATGCTATTTAAAGAAAGGTCTCGAAGTTCGCAAAGATGCTCAAAAAAGAAGGGCCCACCTTCTTACCAACTATTAACAAACGCTTAAGTTAATTAAGTAAAAAGTACCTACCACTTCACTTAATTAAAATTAACACTATTTTTTTTTTCTCTTTCAAGTTATTTCTGTATTTCATTTATTTGGTGCTGTTAGCTAGAACTTTGTCTTGTGTTTAAATTGATGTTTGTCTATTTGGGATGTGTTAACTGTATGCATGTGAAGTAAAGAAATATACTTCGTTATTGATATGAATTCAATCTATTTGAGCATTTAATATGCAATATGATATTTTCAATGAAATAATAAAATATTTTATTAATTGGTTTGTGAAAATTTTCGATTCTATAATTAAATAATTAATTTCTTGGTATGTAGTTCATTGTATTACTCTTCAATTAATTTATATTCTAGTTTTTTGCTGAAATCTAATAAACATTTTATTAAATGCATAATTAAATAAAATCATTTGTGCAAAATGCTGATATTTGTGCTTAAGATAAACAATTTTCGTGAAATATTAATTTTTAAATTAAACAATTTCAATTATTTGCAAATATACGTAATTCAATTAATAAATGTATTTCAATGTAATCATCCTTGTTTTACTTTTATGGCAAAATAATCAATGGTGGCTCCTTTGGTTTGATTCTCCGTTTTCGTTCAAATATTATTTCGTTTTTGAAGGCGATGTACAGTTGTTTGCCAAAAAAGAAGAGCACTTCACACATGCCAATTATGGAGAAACCCGTCATAATGCCACAGATGTTACCGACTACACCTGCAAAATTTATATAACAAAATGTGATATTAAGAATAATGCTGATAATATGGGAATCTTGTACTCGTACATAAGAAAATTGTGCGTATAAAATTTTATTTTATTTAATCTTCCAAAAAAAAAGTACTTAAAAATAAATATAAAATTTATAAATTGCATACATGTGCAGATATCGACCTAAGTACCACTTACTACTTTTTTGTTCACTTACTCAGTACTTCATACCAAGAGTCCTTAAGTATCCGATTATAGTATGGAATATGTGAAACAGCAAAGTAGACATTTAGTGTGGCCAAGTCCTTTGTACTAACACTCACATTTGACCTAGAAACATTTTCAATTGAAGCAAAACAAATAGTTTGAAGTTGTGAAGTACTTACAACTGATCAATTGAAAAAAAAAATAGATAAATTTAATGGATTCAATGGAACTTACTTTAAAATTGTAGTTTGGTAATGCGTTATGGGTAAATCAGATAAACGTATTTTATACGTTGTTTCAGTACATGAGGGCAAGCAATTAGAACAATATAATCCATCTTCCATTTCCCGTTCCAGACCAGGCACAATCTTCCGCATGGTAATTGCATTGAGCCATTTAACTTAAACCATAAATTATTAATTAATTCACTTTAAATACTTTTGAAATTAAAAATATTTAGACTTTTATTATTTTATGCTCTTCTGTTCTTGTACTTTATTTGGATACACATAATTATTATTATTACTATTATTATTATTTATTACTATATTTTTTATTTTTTAATATTTTTAATTCACTTCTTTGATTTTTTAGTGCTTTTAGCTGGCGCTTTAACTTTAGTTCACATTCACTATTTATCATATTCTGTGTGGATGAAGTGAAGCGGTTTGTTTTATAATTAACATAAATTTAATTTAGTAGTGCAATTCATATAGAATATAAAATTTTCAATGAATAACTTAATTAATATAATATATAATCTTACGAATTTTCAATATATATTTTTTTTCTTAACTTACAATCGTATCGTTTCAAGCATGGTTGATGTTGTAATGTGCAATAAACTGTGCTGGCCCTTACATCAAGAAACCTTTCCGGTATACTATAGAGTAAGCACTTGCATAAAATCAAAATACTCCTTACACGGCACTTAGTCATACATTTGTTGAAGGTGTAACCTCTACCGAACATGTGTGGCAACTCATCCGCAAAGAGGCAATTGCGCTTAAGTATTTTGAATGTTTTTTTTTTATTTAAATGTTAAGAATTAATATTTAATAATTTTATTTACAAACTCACTGCACTTGGACTTAAAATTCGAGCTTCATCCACAGTTGATAAAACATGTGGATATATTTGTATAAATGAATTAACACCTGGTAGTATTAACTGCTCTCTGACACCACCAGATGAAGCATCAGGATAATTACGTGCAGAGTATATTGAAACCTATTATAAAAATTAAAGTTAATATTTAAATCAATAGATCAAAAACAGTTCGACATGTTTGTGTACAAATCTAGTCATGTTCGAAAGACCATTTTCGAATAGATCAAATAATTTAGAAGGAAATCTAAAATATTCTGTTTTGCTTCTCAAAATCAAGTAATCAGAATCAATTAAAATTTAAAGAACCCGCTTTAAATCATCTTTGAAAATGATTATTGATTAGTACTACATTTTTTTAAGGACCTATGGTGCTTCTCCTCCTGAAAGTGTGTTTGAAGATATATTTCGAAATAAAAAAAGTACACATGGGTGTGTCCTATATGTACTCTATGTGCGTATTTAATATGCATTTGTACACTTAAATTTAGTGTGATTCCGATTTAACAGGCATTCCAAATTGACAATAGATTATAGCAGAGTTAGGTATTTTGGACAACATCTTCCTTTAAGCTATAGGTCCATATACCTTACTTCCGGAGATAATGAGATTGTGTAAAATTTTTACAGTATCATCACTGACAAAAACTATAGACACTTTCTGGAGCTAACCTGTGTATGCAGGCTTTACATTGATAATATGAATCACGTATGCCTCTACGTATTATAAAAATTTCGAACTATGAAAAACAATATTCTAAAAAACTAAGCTATAGCGAAGTGAAAAAAATAGATATATTTACTAAAATCCGTTATGAATACTTCCAATTCAGGAAATTAAAATCGTGCCCAAAAATATTACTTACCAAAAATCCTGGTTTTGATATCTGATAAAAATCTGAAGTGGATGCATTTAAGACCACTGTTAAACCATTCATCACTCCAAATAGGCGAGTCGAATAATCGCGCTCCACAGAATATCTTTTTAAATTTAAAAGTTATAATAAAATAAATTTATGTATTTAAAAAATATGTATTTAAAAATAAATAATAATAACACGCACTTGCCATAGGTATTGAATCCACAGCAAAATCCTCGAGGTGTTAATGTTTCTACAAATTCACTAGAACAATTTATAACTTTACCACCTAAGCGACATTCCAGCAAAATACTTTCACATGAGGGAGCAAGCTGATATATAAACATTATTAAAAATTATATCAACAAAATTTATAAAATTTAATAAAACTTATATTTTTGATTTATAAAAATGATTAAAGAAATCGTAGTTAGGAAAAGATTCATAGTTATCGATATGAATACGTATTTTCCAAGGGGGACTCTCATATTCAGTTGTACATACTTACCATTCTCATACGTTTTTTTGTGTTGAAAAATATTTCATACTCGTCAGTATCGAATAAATCCAAATAATTTTGGAACGTCATTAACGAATCACGTTCGAAAAAATAATTCACATAAAAGGAATTATACATAAGTAATTGTATGAAATCATAAAAGAATTTGATACCACGCATTTCGGGATCCTTTTCATTTCTAAAAAAATAATTAGGAATAATATTAAAACAAATAAAAACAAAAACAAAATATATTAAATTTTTTGATTATCCATTTATTTTCATATAAGGGGTGTTCACTATTATGAGTAACGAGCTCGGTAACATAGTAAAATTATAATATGACAATAACAAAGACCATTTTAAGCACATGTATGTTAAGTGTACTGTACACTTTATAATGTTACCCTATCACTCGACTATTGAGATCGTGAATACCCCTATGTACAATAGTATTATGCCTTTAATTTTTGATTAAAAATGTTTAAATTTAAGAATTTAAAATAATTTCTACTTACAATTCAACAGCATAACGCATGGCGGAAGTATTCGAAATGCGATTTAAAGGACAAATAGCTAAGGCTGGAAAGGCAACCTTACGTATGGGGTAGCGTTCATTTTCCACTGTTGTACTCAGTAAACGTTCGGTATTAAATTGTACGTTCCACAAGAATATCAGTAAAAATATTAGAGCAGTAAAATGAAAAACGAACCAGAGAAGCCTTTAGGCAAATATTATTTAGAACGAAAAAAATTTTTTTTTCAAAACAATTAATAGTAAATTTATTTGCAGTTAAGCAACAAAACTGTAACTTACTTTTCTTGACTGCTCCGACCTCGTTCAACTAATTTTCCATAACAATGAAATGAAAGATTTTGCAAAAAATCTTTAAAAGCTTCGGCAAAACTAATTTTTTGCCTTTTATTTTGCAACGACACCGGAAGCCACCATGACGATCGTCCCACAGCCAGTGCGACATCCGCTGTTCTAGCTGCCATTCCTGTGCCAGTATTTGTTGCATGCTGCATCGCTTTGTGCGTTGCAGGAAATGCTGGCATATTTGTCAAACAAACCAGAGGCAAGAAGCAGAGCAATAAATTTCAACTGTTGCAGCAAAAACTGTTTTTTGGCTTTTTATACCAAACTCAATCAATCAAATGTGGGCGGTTTTATTAAGGATACATGAGGATACATAAGGATACATGAGGATACAAGCAAGTACACCGCATATGGGAAACAACACTAAACTTGAATTTATTTTTATTGCAGCTAAATTGTTGGTGATTGTGTTTGGCTAATTACTGTGCATGTACTTTTTATTGCCACATTTAAGCTGCCATACGATTTCTCTAGACAAATTGAAAATAATAAATCCGCAGACGATTCAAGTTAATTACTAACAATTGAAATGAAATTGCTTGAAACGCAGTTATGCGGTGACTAAGCGCATTAATCAACACTCAAAATAAACTGAATCCAAGAACCTTAACTGATATATAGCAGTATACCAAAAAAAAAAAAAAAAATAACACAATAGACATGGCCTTATGGGACCTAAAAAGTGGACTTATAATGATACCATTTAAAAGAATTTAAATCAATTTCAAATTTAAATTTGAAAAATTTAATTTAAGAGAATTAACTTTAAGACATTTATCAATAGGGTCACCTATATATTGAATCGGGAACTCACTGGTCGTTTTGTACCGAATATGATGTTTCATAAGATATATCCGATAGCTATTAGAAGAAGAGAAAACTTATGACAGGTCTGCAGCTTTATAAGATAGAAAATTTTCTGACTATACCATTTTTTGAAACACATGTAGTTGGTCTAGGTACAAAAAGGCTCTTAACTCAATTTTATTGGTGGACCTACCAATTAATAAAAATAAAGTAATTTTTATTAAAAATATATATATATATATATATATATATATACACGTACAAAAAAAAAAAAGAAATAAAGAAAAGTGATGATGCGGTGTAGACAGTGGCCACAAACAGGAAAGCAGCGAAGCAGACAGGGTGTTATCGGGACTACGTGGAACGTTCTTGGTAATATCTCATATTTTTATATTTAACACTACATAACACTACATTTAACATTACATATGACTACAATGTTTATGTCAGTAATTGATTCATTTGTTATAGTACAAAGTACCACAGCTGTTTAATTTGGTCGCACTCTTAGTAGGAAAAATGTTGTATTAGAATGGATATCTATTTATTTGAAAGAGTTTCAATACTTCAATACTATTTATTAATAATTTAATAAGCAAAATATAACCAAAAAGAGTATGATAAGTATTTGACAATACTCGAAACAGCTGTGCCCTGCCAAATTTGAAGCTTAGAGACAACGCTTTATATTAGAACGAAATCATAAACCAACTGTAGAATAATTGAATTAATTAATTATATTTTTATTTTTAATTGTAAAATTTTAATACTATTCTGTTTGTAGAGACATTATTTGTTGCATGATTTATTATTAATAAATAACAAAATTTCGTTGTTTTATTTCATTACTTTTTAAAATATTCTTCTATTAAAATAATTTTTCCTATTGAGAAACATGGTTTCTTTCATCAGAATTGACTGTAAATATCAAATTATATTTATTTTAATTAATGCAGTTGGATGTTTGAAGAAAATATCTTTATTCTATTAAAATTAACTTACACCTTGCCTTTAAATATCTGAGAGATGCTCAAATAATTTTAAATAATTATTGATTATATATCAATAAACTAATTTATTGTAGAAACCTTTTTTTATACTTCATTGATGCTCCGACTGAATAGTTGAAACCAAAATATATACTATTTATATTAATTTTTATTAAATTTAAGAAAACTGTTGATAATGGAAGAATATACTTTTAAATATATGAAACATTTATGGACATATATATAATTTTGTTGGATCCAAATTGTCCGCATCGTTTTTAGGTACACGTTGATCTTGAAAAAAATTTTTTAAGCCCATAATTAAATATTTTCCAATAAAGAAGAATGTTTCAAAAATAGCTATCACTGAAAAACCTAAAAAAATTGATAAAATATTTCCAACTGTGCCTATAAAGAAACAAAGTTAGATATATTCAAATTTTATTATTAAAACAAACTTACTAAAATTCTCATACCAAGTATTACCAATAACTCGTCTATAATATTTTGCATAGGGTTTTTCAAAATAAACATTTAATACAGATATATTTTTAGTATCATTTAAATTACTTATATTAGCTTGCCTGAAAATATAAAGTATGTCATATAATATTAAAACTTGGACAAAAAAATATTTTACTCTAGTTCCACTTGATATCTTTCAATTGGTAGAGACATCAACGAAACTTGGTATTGTACATCATAACAGGATGGTTCACATTGCGGACAGTAGAGTGCTTCTTCTGCTTCACGTTCAAGTCCTGGTATTGTTTCACGTTTTGTCAATACGTTACGCCACTTAACTAAAAATAAAATAGTTTTATTTTTTTATTTAAATATCAAAACTGATATTTAATGAATTTTTGAAAAGCAAGTATAATATGGGTTTCTGTTTTTCCCACCCTCTTCTTATATCAGCCCCCTCTTTATTCTACTTTTTTTATAAATTTTTGCCATTAAAAATATTTTATGATACTCCAGTGTTTGTTTTCAGCAAAATGTAGTCTACTAGATATTTTTTGTTCTTTTGTCATTTAAAATATTGAGATTGAACATGCTAGGCACCTATTTTTTAAAGGATCCTTAATAGCTACAGAACCTCTCCTTAAAGAGCATTTTAAAGTATTTTCAATTAATTCAGACGATTAAGCCCCTGGAGTTTTGCATGGTAACAAATAAGTGGATTCTATAAATCGGATATATAACGTAACCTAACAGAACTTTGATAACTTAATATTGCTATATTTATTCTATTAAACTAGAATATATTTTTACTAGTGTAAATTCATACATCACTAACACACTTTCTCTATTTAAGAAACTTACAATTATAACGTCGCAAGCAGGAAACATGTATCAAATTGCAATAGACCACACCATCTATACGATCCACTAAGTCCAAAGGCATATAAAATGGTAGACAGCGGCAGAGAGCTATAATACTATTTATACGACAACGGGATATACAATTTGCAAAACTGTAAGCATCTCTCAAGATTATTTCCGAATTGGTTGCTTCATCGTTGAATGCACATTTCCTCTAAAAAAATAATAAATTCTTTCTTAATCCATTATAGTAACTATAACTTCTTTAAATATTAAGACTTACAGTTTTAGGACTATAAGAACGTAAGGCGTCATCGGCATCAAAAAGTCGTGCATTAATTGATAAAAAAGATTCACTATTATGTGTTGGGAATACTAATTGAGTACTTCCAGACGATATATCCGCATAGTCATTTGGTCTATGCAGCATTACAATATAGCCATCAATATCTAGTATTGCACCGAACGTTTCCCTATCGACGGTATTGTTGAGAACAACAGTCAAGCCAGTATCAGGACTAGCAAATCGAGTTGTATAATTTCGTTGCTTATAACTGTGAGATTTAAAAAAAACTATACAGTTTTAATTGAATTATAAACATATAGATGGCTGTATGTATATCAATATCTATATGTATATTGTTTATAGTAAAAACTTACGAGTCATTTAGATTGAATGTGCAACACGGTCCGAACATGGTTAAACTCTCTTCAAAGGCAACTTTACTGAAACATTCAATATTTTTCTCCGCCAATTTGCATTCCAATATGAAATTTTTACAGGCTGGTGCTAACTGAAATGAAGGTAAACCTAAATTAATGACTATATTATTTTATGTAATTTTTAAGAATCTTACCATTCTCATAAATCTTCGGGTATCATAAAAAGCATCATTATTCCATGCATCATGAGTATCCAAGAAAGCTTGAAAGTTGGTTAAAGCTTCAGTGTTAATTGTTTCTCCATGTTTAACGTAGAGATTGTTTAATAGTTGAATACTTTCCAAAAAATAAACTACAGAACGATTCGATGGATCACTTTTATGTCTAAAAAAAATGTAAAGAATTACTTTCAGTTTAAAAAAAGTTTTGTGCTCCAAAACTTAAAATTCAACCTACAAACCCATAAGCAACTTTTTTTAATTTTTTTAAAGTGGTCTCAATATTTTATTAAGTGTCCGGTAACCTACAAACAACGTATAAGTTAAGATAGTCCCTTTACTAAAGTAGAAAACAAAATACGGTCTGAAACGATGTATAACATGGATAATACTATTCCAGACTTAAAATCTGGAGTATTTTCGAAAAGCTGCGAGCTACTAGTCAACCAAATGTAACCAAACTATTCATACATCTGTACTCTACTGTACACTATAAACATTTTTGAAACAAACCACGCCAAACGCTTCAGCTGACCTAAAAACTTCGAAAAAGACTTCGAAAACATGAGAGTAATTGAAAACCCAATTTATAGGTATTCTATGCTTTTCATGATATGAGAAAAAAGTTGTCTAAAATGAAGTATGGTAAGTATCTCTGCTATTGTTAATTGCATTTATGCAGAAATTCTCAAGAACACCGACCTACGCTCAAAGACATCATAATCAAAATTTCTGTCTGACATCATGAGAAATTATCGATACTTAGCCGCTTTGGACCATAACTGAGGGCCAATGAGCGTCAGCGGGTTTACATCTACTTACACAAAGTGAGCTAAAGAGGGTCATTAAAGAGGATTAGCGGATTTGATCTACTTAAACGCAACCAATCTGCTGATTTTGTGATCAGCTACCTAGCAGTATGTATTAAATTACTTTAGCATTTGATACTTCACTGAATCGAAGTTTCAATTCAATGAAACCTCACAAACTCCAAAGATTTAGATGAACCTATAGCTGCAGGGATCAAGTTTCGCTACTGACTTATTATATAGATAATGGGTTCCAAATAAAATAAAAAACTGTCGGACTTTCGTTGAGCTAATTGCAGCCTATTTCACATTCTAGAAAAAAGGTACTAGCTACAAAAATCTATAAACTTCTGGAGCAGAAAAAAGT